GTCCTAAGGGCCAGTTCACACTATAGGAACAGTCTAGATGTGTTCCAGATGCGTTTTTGCATGCACTTTTTTGATGCATGTTTAGCGTCTTCCTGAGCATTTTGGATGTATTTTTTTGGTGTGTTCCAGTGCAGTTTGGATGCGTTTTTGACTTCCAGTGCATTTTTTTTATGCATTCCAGTTACTTTTCCCTCTCTTTTTCTAAAATTGAATTAAGGACATGTGCGTTTTAGTGCGTTCCAGGGCGTTTTACCGTATTCCTGTACAGGTCTATGCATAAACAATGCAGCCTGTTTGACTATTTTGGCAGCACCTGCAACGCACTGGAACTGCAAGCGCTGATGTGAACTATGACATTGACAACCATATAACCTTCTTTCTGTGTGTTTTGGATACAAAAAAAGCAACTGAAACACATGTAGTGTGAACTGGCCTTAAAGGTTATTATAGGTCAGGGAACGGGACTGACCAGGAATTGTGAATTCAATCAGACTAGAGGTGAGATACAATCAGCAATCGTATAATAATGTGAGATCTGAGCTGGAGGTGATAGGAAATGAGACACATTCACTTGATCAGGAAATAGTTTATATACAAAGAGTGGGGCGGGGATACATAGATTTGCAGATGGAACAGGTGATGACAGGGGGGGGGTGGGGGAGGGGAACAGGTGATTACAGGGGGGGAGGGGAACAGGTGATGACAGGGGGGGCGGGGGAGGGAATAATAGGTGATGACAGGAGGGCGGGGGAGGGAACAGGTGAAGAGGGGGGAGGGGACAAGTTGTATAAGGAGAGAGATTTAAGGGCTCTTTCACACGTGACTTTATTTCTAACTCTTGCCATACGCCCACATGGCATTGGACAGGTGTTTGGGAAGCAGTTTTAATGCTCCACAAATGCTCCCCAAACGCCCTATGTGCGGTTTTGAGGCATGTGATAAGCATTTACCAAGCATTAAAACTGCACCACAAATGCCTGTAATAAAGTTAAATGGTATTGACGCTCCGAAAACGCCTCACAACCACACCACAAACGTCTGCCAGGCATTTGAGGAGCGGCACCATAGACTTGAATGCGAGGCTTCAACTCCTCCTGACTCGACATGAGGCGCCAGTTTTGCCATGACGCAATGCTAACGCTTCAGTGTGAACAACACACTGTGTGCTGCCATGTGCAGAATTTTCATAGGCGATTGAGAAGCATAAAAACGCTTCCCAAATGCCTGTCTGATGCCTGCTGACAAAGCTAGTGTGAACGCAGCCTTAGAGAAGATAAAGTTGTAATGAAATATAAACAGAAGGAAAATTGAAAAATTTCAAACTTGTCAGAAGAACAGGACGCAGGTAAGATTCACTCCCTTTCCACTTTCTAGTCAGTAGCCAAAATCGTAATTAATTGATCTATATTCCTGGCACTGACAGAACCCTGGAAATTGATCTCCATATTTTGAGTATTCACAAATGTCAAGGAGCTTACAATCTAATGCAGGCCATAGATGGGTCGAAAATCATCCGAAAAAAAAAAAATCGGCCAATCTTTGCACCGTTAGTGGTTTAATTGGTTGGCCGTTTAATCGGGGTTTTGACACATTTTTTTTTTCTATTGGTAAGGTTGGGAAGAAGAAGAATTCCAGTCCTCTATTATATTTTACATGAAAAGTCTTGCGGTTGCAACAATGTATCTATTTGTATCCGAATAAAAACATCTTTATCCGAAATGGATACAATGTGGAAACCGCAATACTTTTCATGTAAAATATAATAGCAGAGCTCTCTGCAAGGGACAGAAGTAAAAATGCCGGCCGCAGACGGGACGAAAATCAAATGATTTTTTTTGCTGTTGGTGGTAACGTCGTCTGATTGAACGACCGATTTTTTACATATACTAGGCCCAATTAACCTAACAGCATGTCTTTGGAGTGTTGGCAGAAACACACCCGTGCAGAGAAAGCATGCAAACTGAGATGCAGCCATGACTGGGATTAGATCCCATGATCCAAGTGCTGTAAGTTCTGAGTTCTAACCACTCAGCCACTGGAGGAGACAGAGTTTGAGCTGCAATGTAGAATAGTTACATTGTTTACAAATAATGAAACAGCGAGCTCTGGTCAAATTATATAGACTACTAAAATGGTATTACACAAGATGAATATAAATCTAGGTATAGATATGAAGGTAGCAGCTAGCACTCAGGGTATTGGCAACAGTCCCAGAATAGAAATATGTTACAGTAATAGTGCAGCGCTATAAATGCATGTTATCAATCATCAACGCATGGAAAATCCAAAAAGTGCAATCATTTATTTATTTTAGGTACTCTTACAGTGTGCTGCCACGCAGCTTTACTGTTTAGCAGTTGTTGTTACATGTTATGTTTAAATGCTATTTGGTATCATCCACACACCCCTGCTGTTTCTGACTAGTTGGTTGCTTCCTCCCTCCATTTCCTGTTGTAACGCCCCTTTTGTTTAGTGGTTATGAAGACACTGTAAAGTGAGAAAGCTGTGTGACATCACTGGAAATGGACCTATGAAAACACCTTTATGTTCATACCTTTGCTACCTGGAAGCATAAAGAAGCATTGGAAGACACCTCTGAAGTTGTATTCATTGAGTAAACTATCTGTGAAGGCGATCATTCAACTTGCTGCACACATTCTTACAGACGGGTCTAAACGAATCTCACCACAAGTACAACCGATGCCAAGACAGAACATACAGTGCTGTCAATGTGTGCTCTACACATATATTGTACATTCACATCTGTCCCTAACCCTCAAGGGGTGTACAATCTAAGGTCCCTAACTCACATTCATACACTAGGGCCAATTTGGAGAGGAATCAATACACCTACCAGCATGTCTTTGGAGTGTGGGAGGAAACTGGAATACTCAGAGGAAACCCATGCAAGCGCAGGGAGAACATGCAAATTCCATGCAGGAGGTGCCATGGTCAGGAATTGAACCCATGACCCATTTACTGCAAGGCAGATGTGCTAACCATTAAGCCACTGTGCTGCCCATTAATGATGATGTAAACTGGTAAATGGTGCTAAAAAAAAGTTAATCTAATCATTGCTGAATAATGGAATGTCCTTGGTGTGAGAGTACCAATTCAGAGAGTGCCTATGGTGTCAGTGGGAGGAATAGTGCCCCATCATTGGTATCAGTGGGGGGAGGAATAGTGCCCCATCGTTGGTGTCAGTGGGAGGAATAGTGCCCCATCGTTGGTGTCAGTGGGAGGAATAGTGCCCCATCGTTGGTATCAGGAGGAGCAATAGTGCCCCCATCGTTGGTGTCAGTGGGAGGAATAGTGCCCCATCATTGGTATCAGTGAAGGGAGGAATAGTGCCCCATCATTGGTGTCAGTGGGGGGAATAGTGTCCCATCATTGGTGTCAGTGGGAGGAATCGTGCCCCATCATTGGTGTCAGTGGGAGGAATAGTGCCCCATCATTTGGTGTCAGTGGGGGGAGGAATCGTGCCCCATCGTTGGTGTCAGTGGGGGGAGGAATAGTGCCCCATCGTTGGTGTCAGTCAGTGGGGGGGGAGGAATAGTGCCCCATATTAGTGACACTAATGATTGGGCACTATTCCTCCCACTGACACCAATGATACTTACCTTGCCGACCCCTGCTCCAGCCTGGGCTCTCGCTCGCTCCCTCCCTCTCCCATGGTACAGACACTTACCGGTCAGATGTCTTCCTTCTCCGGCCGCTCTCTCTCCTCTTCACTCGCTCGATCTTCGCGGTGCCGCTCGGCTCGGCTCCTCCTCTCCAAGCTCCACCTCCTCGCCAGTGATTGGCCGCCTGTGTGCCTCTCCTGAGCTACAGTTCCGGTGGCCAATCACCGGTGAGGATTGATCCCAGGGGTGTGTCCAGATGACAGGGACGGCATGTCATCCCGCCCACACCTGGAGACGGATAGAGGAGCGGTGTCTTGGTTCCTAAGGCCATCGGAAATATGTGTTTTCCGATGGTCTTAGGCGACCCCTGTGAAAGTGTTGTTCGACCCCCAAAGGGGTCACGGCCCACAGGTTGAGAACCACTGTCTTATGCCAACAGGAAAGCTCCAATGGTACAAAGCCCGCGCTTGTGCGCCATCTAGCGAACATATCTGGTATTGCACCTAAAAATGTGCCAGACGTGATTCCACATTTACTAATAATAAAGTAGACGTTCATCAATGAGATTGCTAGACGCCGCTCAGCAGACTGACAGGTCCTCATTGTTTTAACTGAGTCTGCCTGAATGGTCAGAGTCTGCTGGTAGACTCACGTCTTAGTAAATCAGGGCCAATGTGTCCACAATCACCATGGAAATGATCAGATCAATGAAACGTTTGTCATAGACAGACCATCATGTGCCGATCATATACACAGACTTTTGTATCACGGGAAACATACAAGAAACATGTATGGAGAAAGACACGGGAAAGTCCCAATATGTGCATTCACCAATCACTCCTTCATTCCCGGTATACACACAATTCCATTGCTTCCATGTGTACACCATCAGTCACTCTTCTAGAATTGGGACATTTTTATTACCACCCACCTCTTCAGTGATCCCCCACTATGCAAGTATTGTCCTCACCTCCAACTGTGTGGGCCTAATGAGTGCTTGGAACATTTGTCCACAAAGTATGAATAATAGACCTCCAAGTGTTTGTGAATTCTCCCACCACAAATGTACTCAGCCAATCACAGGGCAGGACTCCATTTTTATTCTTCTTCACCATCAATGGCCAACCCGGTCCCACACTTCATCCATGTCTTTGGGGACCTCTGATCTCCTTATGAACTGTTCTTTCCATGATGATCAGCCATGGAGTATATCTGAGGTGTATATCAGGGTGTGCTTCTTCCCCACGAGAGCTGGGATGTCCAGCAACATTCATCTAGAAGACATTTCCCGCACTCAAGGCACTAATACACCTCCAGGGTTGTGTGGGATCCCTGATGTACAGGAAGACAGGACTTCAGTGAGGAACATTTCCCTCACTAAGCAGTAGAAAGCAGCTTCTCCCGTGTGCAATCTCTGATGTTTGTAAAGCTAGGAGTTCTGTGAAAAACATTTTCCACACTCAGGACAGGAATACGGTTTCTCCCCCATGTGAGATCTCTGATGTATGGAAAGATGGGACTTCTGTGGAAAAACATTTTCCGCACTCATGACAAGAATACGGCTTTCTCCCCATGTGAGATCTCTGATGTATGGAAAGATGGGACTTCTCTGAAAAAAATTTCCAACATTCAGGACAGGAATACGGCTTCTCCCCCTGTATGAGATCTCTGATGTTTGTAAAGATTGGACTTGTCTCTAAAAAAACATTTCCCGCATTCAGGACAGGAATACGGCTTCTCACCCGTGTGAGACCTTTCATGTGTGACAAGATCTGTTTTTTGTGCAAAACATTTCCCGTACTCAGGACAGGAATATGGCTTTCCCCCATGTGAGATCTTTGATGCTTGGAAAGATGGCACTTCACAGAAAAACATTTCCCCGCGCACTCAGGACAAGAATACGGCTTCTCCCCTGTGTGCATTCTCTGATGTGTGTAAAGTTGGTACTTCTGTGCAAAATGTTTCCCACACTCAGGACGGGAATACGGCTTCTCCCCCGTGTGAGATCTCTGATGCCTGGAAAGATGGAACTTCCATGAAAAACATTTCCCACACACAGGACAGGAATACGGTTTCTCCCCCGTGTGCATTCTCTGATGTGTGTAAAGTTGGTACTTCAGTGAAAAAATGTTTCCCGCACTCAGGACAGGAATATGGCTTCTCCCCCCCATGTGAGATATCTGATGTTTGTAGAGACTGGACGTCTGTGAAAAACATTTTGTGCACTCAGAACAGGAATACGGTTTCTCCCCTGTGTGCGATCTCTGATGTGTGTCAAGATGTGACTTATGTGAAAAACATTTCCCGCACTCAGGACAGGAATAGAACTTCTCTCCTGTGTGAGATCTCTGATGTTTGTAAAGACTGGACTTCTGTGAAAAACATTTCCCGCACTCAGGGCAGGAATATGGCTTCTCCCCCGTGTGAGTTCTCTGATGTATGTCAAGATGGCACTTATGTGAAAAACATTTCCCACACTCTGGACAGGAATACGGCTTCTCCCCCGTGTGACATCTTTTATGCCTATTAAGTTGGGATTTATAATGGAAACCTTTCCCGCACTCAGTACAGGAGAAGCTCTTCCCTGTTGGAAGGCCGTCCCCCTGAGGTTCCCAGCACAGTCCATCTACACTGGGTGGTGCCGGATGGACATTGGAGGGAGCCGGGTTTTCTCCTGGACTATACTGTGTGATGTCCTCATCTTCTACTTTCCAGTCTGGAGACAAAGTGAGACAATCCTCGGAGGTTTTCCTCATCTCCCGGCCATGGACTAAAATACAAAGACAAAGAGGATTACTAGACAGGAGCTGATTGGTTCCCCCAAACCAGGACTCCGCCCACATCAGGCAGCTTGGTCTCTGAGGAGCTTACAATTCCACCCTCAAGGGAACTAGGAAATGGCTCCTCTGATCTCCTGCCAGGTCATTTCTTTATTCATGGACCTTAGTCAGAGAATGAGGAAACAACCAGAACTGTCTTTTATAGGAGGGACAGTGATGAGGGGATTATAGGACAAGGGTCCCCACCCCCTCTATCACTCATCGCCATCTTCCCAACACAAGAAGTACTGCACTTCCTTATTTACTCCATGATTTAGTCATGAAGAACAGCGGGGCTGAGCCCCACCAGAGGTCAGAGAGTGAGGATGGGGGAGAGAACAACCAAGATGAAGACTGGACTGATCCTGAAGACCACCATCATTGGGGTATTGACTCCTCCCTCATTATCACTTTCTGTTTAAGGGTCCAAAGTTGGAGGATGTTATCACATTATTATCACCATGTAAAAGTCTGTGCTCCAATCACATCATCCGATATAAAAATGTCCAGCTGGGAGGAAATGGGGGGAACAAAAGAGAATCCATATTATGTGTATATATAGCAGTGGGGGGAGGGGGGAGCAGAAGTCAGGACTATGTAATGTACAACATAGAGTATATAGTGCAGGGGTCAGGAGTATGTAATGTACAACATAGAGTATATAGTGCAGGGGTCAGGAGTATGTAATGTACAACATGGAGTATATAGTGCAGGGGTCAGGGGTATGTAATGTACAACATAGAGTATAGAGTGCAGGGGTTAGGAGTATGTAATGTACAACACAGAGTATATAGTGCAGGGGGTAATGTACAACACAGAGTATATAGTGCAGGGGTCAGGAGTATGTAATGTACAAACATAGAGTATATAGTGCAGGGGTCAGGAGTATGTAAACTGGCTGAAAGATCATATTCAGAGAGTAGTGGTTAATGATTCATACTCTGAATGGTCTGGGGGTGTCAGT